AGTTTATTTTGTTAGTCCTGTACCTTAGGGAAGTATTTATTTTCTTCTAAAACATTACTACGAAATAAAATTCACTATATCTTTTTTTTTTTTTTCCTTTTTGGTATTTTTGAGACAGGGTCTCCCTGTAGCCCCAGCTGTCCTGGAACTCACTATGTAGACCAGGCTGGCCTTGAACTCAGAGATCTGCCTGCCTCTGCCCCCCCGAGTGCTGGGACTAAAGGTGTGCGCTACCACACCCAGCAACAATTTAATAAACTCCTTTTTTTTTGTCTTTTTGAGACAGGGTCCCCCTGTAGTCCCAGCTGTCCTGGAACTCATGATGTAGACTAGGCTGGCCTTGAACTCACAGAGATCTGCCTCCTGAGTTCTGGGATTAAAGGCGTGCACCACCATGCTCGGCTAAAAGTCATTATATCTTAAAGGAGTTTTCCAGGATGATTAAGTAGCATTTCTTAATAGAGTTACAATATTTAGGAATTTTCCCTTTATTTTTGTTTTATCTGCACTTTCTTCTTCTTTGTAGAACATGTGATATGCATATTTACTACGTATATATAAGATATATAAACATTTAGAATTTAGAGGTTACATTGTACTTGCTGTACCTCCCAGTAACCTCACTTATGAAATGAATTACATAGTATAATATAGTATCAAATCCTTGAAGATTTGTGTACCAGTTTCAAAATGTAACATCCGTGTTTGCTGATTAGAAATGATAGTGGAGCCTGGCGTGGTGGTGTATGTCTTTAATCCCAGCACTTGGGAGTCAGAGGGAGGCCAATCTCCGTGAGTTCAAGGCCGGCCTGGTCTACATAGCGAGCTCCAGTACAGCTGGGGCTTCAGGAAGACCCTGTCTCAAAAAAGCCAAAAAAAACCCCACCAAAAAACAAAACAAAAAACCCCCAAAAAACCCGAAATGATAATGGTAGTGTTATTAGAAAACATTAATGTTTAGGATTTGAACAGGATGTGAGGATGTTTTTTAATCTGCTAAAATGTTATGCAGCATTTAATAATTATACTGTTTTCTTGCAGGAATGTTAATACTGTGATTTATGTAGTTAGTTCCTGCAGTAGTTTTTAATATAGTCACTTAAATATTGCATGTTAGTTTGAGATTCCTCTGAGAGCAAGAGCAAGCGAGCAAGTGAGGGAGAGAGAGATTTACATTTTAAGGAAACACTTGACTGTTTCTTGCTTTCTTTTGTGCGATTTAAAAAGTAAGTTATTGTCTTTGCCCTGCCCTCATAAGCTTCTGCTGCCTTCTGCTGTAAAGTGATTTTCTCTTCCTTCCCCATTTCTGTTGCAACCATCTTTGAAGCTGTGACTTGGTGTTGAGAGATTTGCTTGCGGGGAAAGGAATGCCCCCGAGTCTTCAGATTTAACCTAGATATAATCATGTGTTAAATAACACAGTGGCACTTAATTGAAATTTGAGGTTCTTGTGATATTGAACATCATTGGAAAGTGATAAGGAAGTCACTGTTATGTAGCTATATAATTGGTATCTGTACAGAAGATGAAAAGACTGCACCAAGAAAGGCCTATTAAAAATGTGATCCAGCCCATCATGCTGTTAATGCTCTCTTGCTATCGTTCCCGAAGTGTTGACTGTCAGATTGGGAAAAGGCTGGGAAGGGGGAGTTTAGGGAAAGCCGAATTTAGGGAAGGATAAATTGAAACTTGAGACCAGAATAGAGCATAAGTTAATATTAATACACTACTTATATTTTCACAAAAGTAAAAGTATATCAATGCACAGAAGTTTGTTGGGAGACCATATTAACCAAGCCAATGAGAAGGTTCTCTGCAGGAGAAGCAGGAGATTGAATATAATCTGAAACTTCAGTCATATGATTTTTATTGACAGTTGATTTTTGTACCTTTATACTTTTTAAAAAATTATTTATTTATTTGTATGTGTGTGTGCGCATGTGTGTGTGCATGCGTGTGTGCATGGGTGTACATGTGCGTGTGCATGTGTGTGGTGTGTTTGCTACTGTGTATGTGTATGGAGATCAGAGAACAACTTGAGAGTCAGTTTTCTCTTTCCACAATACGGACCTAGGGATTAAATTCAGGTGGTTATGCTTAACTTTTACCTGCTGAGCTATTTCCCCCATTTATTTATTTTTACTGTATTTGTGAAGTTTATTCTATTTTTCATTATCAGTAATGTTCAGTATTTTTATTAATTAAATTTTTTTGCCAATTTCATTTATGGACATAATACTTTCTGATTTATACTTTTAAGGACACCTTTTAATGTCTGATTCTCCATCTTTATAGAATAAAGATAATAAGGATAAGAAGATAATAGTATATGATTCGTAATGGGCAATTGGGAGCACAAAATCTGATTTCCTGTTGATTACACCTTGTATATAAGGGTAAGGTAATCTGAGCATTCTTGAATGTTTGCTAATAAATTTGAATCATGAATTGCCCTTCCCATTCTAGTGGCTAATTGTCTTTGGGTTGTATGTCTGAAACATGTTTACATTATGCTCATTTTGAAGGCTGAAATCCTTGAAACGCTGTGTGTGTCTGATAAGTCCATAGCCATTTGCTTTGCGTTGATCAGATGCCAGATGCTGTTGCATACCCTGGAAGGGTAAAGGTGCACAAGCCAATCTTTGACCCATAGATAGAGGTAAACAGGTTTGTTGCCAGATAGATGTTGATGATAGTGATAAGACTGGCTAGGTTGGGGCAGGAGAGGTGGTTCAGCAGTTAAGAACACTGTTCTTGCAGAAGACCAGGGTTCAACCCCCAGCACCCACATGGCAGCTAACAACTGTCCGTAGCTCCAGTTCCAGGGGATCTGACAGCCTCTTCTGTCCTCCACGGGCATTACACAACACGGGTGCACTTACCTACATGCAGGCAATACACTCATACACACAAAATAAAAATGTTTTGATTGAGGTCAGTGGGACAAATGTTCTTAAAATAAGCATTGTGCCTTAGTTTAGTTCATAAAGGAATGTATTATTAGGTACTGTCACTGAAAGTTCAAAAATATTTTTATTTTCGGATGTATAATTAGTGGATACTATTTTTCTGCATTTGTAACTAAATTTTAATAAAATATTATTTGAGAAGTATTTAATTTACATACTTCTGTATATGATTGTGCCTCTTGAATATTAATTTTTCATTACATGATTTATTAAATAATATTAGAACATCTTTAACATATAACTTAATAGGAACTGGGAAGATTGGAAACGATTAATAACAATTACATTCCATATTAAGATATCATAGAAAAGATGATTTAAAAGGGGACTTTGTAGATATAGATCATCTTGCTAGTGATTTAAAATTACATTCATTGATTCAGTAATTGTGTGTGTGTGTGTGTGTGTGTGTGTGTGTGTGTCTGCGTCTTTTTTTTTTAAGAGCTATAGATTCTGATGTTTTGCTGAGGAGCATTAGGAGCAGCCGATGAAGAGAATTGCCGAGAGTACACCACACTGGAGTGGGGATATCCTTATTCTTTGAGCCAAAGTAGACTGAATAATTATGTTTTATATATACTGAAAACAAATTATGCTGAAACAATACTTTTTAAATTTAAAAATTGCCAACAGAATACCAATTCTTTCTTCATTTTAATGGTAAAATGCCAGAAAACTAGAGAATGAAAATTAGCTTTAGAACTCTGTTTTCCTAAATTCACTTCAGTAGTGTTCAGTTAAGTCACACTGCCTCCATGTGGTTTTGGAAACATTAAAACTCTTAGTAAGCCATTTTAAGTAATGAACAGCAAAGAATACATATGATTATGTCATCAAGAAAATTGCCTTCGTAATATTGGTATGTAGACCTGGTATGCTATTTATATGAAAGTGATTTGACATTAGTCAATTGTTTTATATATGAAGTTTCTTTTTCCTTTGATTTCTTAAACTGTAAACATTCAAACCTGAATGAGGTCTTACAATTTTTAGTTTATTATTCGTACTTTTCCCCATAACTCTTAAAATAACAGACCTTTTTCCTAGGGAATACAATGTTTCATTTATTTCTCAAATGCAGTACAGTATTATCTTTGAGATTTTGACTGAACTTTCCTTAAATAAGTTTGATAAAAATATTTTTCTGTAAAGTATTTATAGGTCTTTTCTTTTGGTATTAGAAAATTCCCTTATAATTTTATAAAAATCAGATGATTTAGTGTGACTTGTAATGACATCGAATGAAATAAACAATTGCTTGTATGTGAAATAAAAAGAAAACCCGAGTCTTTGAATAAACCTACATTTAGTTAGAATTATTCTGGACTGGATTTTTTTTCAAGATATATTATTTGGAATTTCTTATTACTGAATTTTGAATCCTCTAGCATAATCTATGTATAGTGATGCATATAGGTAGTACCAGCTACTCGGGAGGATTGCTTCAATCTAGGTGGTAGGCCAGTATGGACAATACAGAGAGATTCCATCTCAAGAACAGTCAGACAACAAACAAACAATAAAAAAACCAAAGGAAAAAATCAGATCCCGACAAAACACAAAACAACAATAGAAAACTCTAACATAGACTAATTATACTGGTTCCCTAATAACCAATAACAAAGCAATAATAATTTAAAATAATTAATGACAAATAAGCAGATTCTTCTCACTTATCAGAATGATTTATAGGATCTATTTAGGTTCAATTCTTCTTAGAGCATTAAAAGGATAGTTCAGGCTGGGTGTGGTGGCACACGCCTTTAATTCCAGCACTCAGGAGGCAGAGGCAGGCGGATCTCTGTGAGTTCAAGGCCAACCTGGTCTACATAGTGAGTTCCAGGACAGCTGGGGCTACAGGGAGACCCTGTCTCAAAAAGACCTAAAAAAAAAAAAAAAAAGGATAGTTCAACACAATCTACTCATTTTTGATAATTCTTTTTGCCAGATTTATGAAAAAATTTAAAGTAATTATAAAGCCAGATCAAAGCTTAATCTTTCTTTCTTTTCTTTTTTTAAAATTATTTGCAGGAGAGGGCTGCTCACAATTTATATGGCCAATTTGGTAAGTAGTGTTCTATTTTTTCTTTTAACTTTTAAAGTTTTCCCACAGGCCTTTGTTTTTGTTTGTTTGTTTAATGGGAAAAGGAAAAACTAGTTGAATTTGAGAATATTTTCTGTCTGTGTTTTAAAGGCTAGAGTTGACTACTTGGGAGAACCTTCCTATGTAGTTTGTTTCTGTCATAAGAATGATTCATTTATTTTAGAAGGGAATGACCCACTACCATTTGCCCTTTGTGATTCTTTTCTTCCTGAAATTAAATCTTCTGTGATTCCTTCCTTCCTTCCTTCCTTCCTTCCTTCCTTCCTTCCTTCCCTCTCTCCCTCCTTTTCCTTCCATCCTTCCTCTCCTCTCCTCTTTTTTTAACATTAGCATATTAAATATGGGTCTGTTATGACATTTTCATTCCTATGTGTCATTCATTATTCATTATCTATCTATCTATCTATCTATCTATCTATCTATCTATCTATCTATCTATCTATCTATCTATATCTATCATCTATCTATCTATCTATCTATCTATCTATCTATCTATCTATCTATCTATCTATCATCTATCTATCATCTATCATAATCTATCCATCCACCCACCCGTCTATCTCTCTCTCTCTCTATCATCATCACCTACCTATCATCTATCATTCGATCTCTATCATCTATCGATCTATCATCCATCTGTCTATCTCATCTTATCCCATATTGAATTTCATACTTTGCCTATGTTGCCATTTTCATGGGAGAAATGATTTCAGGCTGAGCTATCATGATACATCTTCTTTAACATTAAAACAAGGTTACTATCTTTAAACATCATATTTATTGAGTAATATAATTAGCCAGGCTTCTAAATATCCAAGTTTACAGAAATAAAGTTAATGCCATCTGTTCTGAAATTATTTATAGTAAATATATAACGAAGATATTACTACCATGTTCACTGATTCATATTTTAAAACATTTATTTAAAAATCATTCAAGGTTAATAGTTAATCAATACCATTAAATAGTTCAACTAAGAAAAATTTATTTGAAGATGTATTCTTGTATTTTGTAACAAAGCAGCATATTTCAGAAATATGTTTAGTGTGCTAGTTTCTTTTCCTTTCGTGATAAAACACCCAACATATGGGTTGGTGTTGACCATATTCAGTGTGGGTCTTCTCTCAGTTAAATCTCTCTGGAAACATCCTCACATACAATCAGAGGTGTGTGCTCTAGATGATTCCACATACAGTCATGTTAATACTGAAAATTATTCATCACATGAGACAGTTCATTTCAGTGATAAACTAATTCTGTTGTGTCATGACAGGGTAAGTTGGCACAGTGAATAGTATAGTATTCATGGAAACAACAGTTTCATGGGCCGCTAGCAAGCGGTTGTATGTAACTTGAAGCAAGTGGAAAAATGACTGTGTTTTGATAATCTAAATATATCCCAACTCACCTATGAGTAAGCTGGATCCCAAAATGTGCTCGTCATACAAGTGAAGTGTGACAGGCCAGTCAGAATATACTATGGTAGGGATTTAAGCACTTGTAGTTAAAGTGCCATAGTTCTGCAGATTTTATAAAATCTTCAGTGTTTAATAGATTATGTAAGATTTTTCTCAAGACTTTGAAGGAGCCTATGAAAATGAGAAGTCCGTGCTGCCCTGCATGTCTGTCCGTCCCCCCCCCGCCCCCCGCTTCATTCACACTGGCCCTCTGGGGAAGCCTGGCTAACATGCTTCCTCTTGAGGATGTGTGTCTTACTGCTTCATTTCATTCAGACTGTTGAAGTTTCACTATAACAAGATATTTTGTATCTATCCCACATGAAACATGGTTGTGGTACTCAGCTTGAACTCTGAACACTTCTTTTCTGCCAGCTTATGATAGTGTGTTTAGAATTAAGAAGAATGTATATCTGGGGACATTACTTTGAAACTCATCATAAGCTAGACTTGGTGGCCCACATCTCCAGTTGCAGCATTCAGGAAGCTATCTGATCCCAAGAGTTCAAGACCACTCTGGTCAACATAGTGAGATTCCCCTGGTAAACCAAATCCAAGTGCCAAACCCAAGACAAACTCAAAACTATAAACTTGAGATATAAAGTGAGAAATGCTACAGCATGAAAAATGAAAACAGTTGATAAATCTTGGCTATACGTTACCTGTGTTTTATGACAAAAGGTCAGAATTTTCTACCTAATATCGCTATTGTGATGCGTTACTTTCTTACTTTAAGAACATCAATGGTGTGCCTGCATATATGGATGGATTTGAAGTTTAATATATTTCTCCAGCCACTTACATGCTTCTCTATATTAAGACAAAGTATATGTAATACTGAAATATTTTATGCATTTATGTAGTTCAGATTATAAGTAAACTTCTAAAATGTGTACACTACCTAATTTAGATCATAAACTAATGCAGAGATCTTGTTTTAAAATAATCGGTATTGAACAGTATGCAAAATGCTGTATTCTAAGAAACTTAAACATATTTGAAGTAATTGTAGATTCATATAGTTATAAAAAGTAATAAAACTTCTTGGTTTTCTCTAGTGCTGGCATATTATATAGTACAATATGGAAAAGAGGATATTTAATTGATACATTCAAGACACAGAGTGTTCCAGTCACCCTAGGGGTCCCACATGTGACTCTGAGATGCTCTCCTCTCACCCCCTTTGTAACCCTGACAACCACTAATCTTTTATTTCCATAATTTTGTTATCTAAAGAAGATACAGAGCTGGGTGTGGTGGCATACTCCTTTAACCCAGCACTCGGGAGGCAAAGGCAGGTGGATTTCTGTGAGTTTAAGGCCAGCCTGGTCTCCATAGTGAGTTCCAGGACAGACTGGGGCTACAGGGAGACACTGTCTCAAACCCCCCCAAAAAAAAAGATACAGAAATGAAATCATACTGTATTTATCAGCATGATTCTCTGGAGATTTATTCAAGTTGTTATCACCAAGTTTTTCTTTTTTGTTTGAGAACATTGATAGCATGGGATATATCCTTTCAGGGACATTTGGTTTATATCTGATTTCTGATTATTATGAACAAGGCTCCTATAAATATTCACATATTGGTTTTATGTGGATATGAGCTTTCATTTGTATGAACAAGTACAGTTGCCTTGTTATATGGTAATTACATGTTTAGCTTTTCATGTTTGTGTCAGTGTATGTGTGTGTGTGTGTACACATGGGTACATGTGTAAATGTGTGCATGGGAAGACCAGAGGACCGCTTGTGTGTCTTGCCCCTAGCACCTTTAATCACCTTTAAGCAGTTACTTGGAGTCCCTCTTTCAGGGAGATCAGTAGCTCAGTCCAGCTCCATGGTTCGGAGCAGATTTCTATTGCCTGGGGCATTGTACAGTTCTGGTTCAGAGCTTTTCTGTTTGAGTAGAGATGTTCTGCAAATCTGGACTCAGACTTGTTCCTAGAAGAGGCCCTGCAGGGAGGGACCTTTGCCTCTCTAACTGCCTATCTCCAATTCAGCAGAGATCTGTTTAAAGGGCTTCTTGAAGTACTTTCAATTAAATGCTGCGAAAAGAGGATATGGTACCTATATGGTACCTATATGGTCTGTAGACCCCAGCGTTTGTCTGCTTGGACTGCAGATCTGCTCAGTGCTGTTCCTAGTGTTTGTTGTGCTTTTGAGTGTCGTATTCCTTTGGTCTGTGCCCCACTCTCTGCCTATGGGCTCAGTGCTTTTGTCTTTTGTTCTCTGCCTCTGGTTGATTATCTGGTACTAAGAGGAAAGTATTAATTTTCTGAGGCTCTTTTTTTCTCTTAACCTATGGTCCTCACTCTACACTAGGAGCAGAGCCTATTCCTGTTCCTTTTTCTAAAATTTCCCTTCTTTCTTTGCCACCAAAACTTGTGTTTTCTGTTATCACCCACCTTGTAGAAGAGCTGCTGTCCGACTCTCTGTGGCTTATTCCAAGGAGATTATAACAGTCAGTGTATGGGAACTGGCCTCCCTTCGGTCTCCTTTCTGTGATGGACTTATTTTGTTACTCTGTGGCATAGTTTTTATTGCTAAAGGTTTTAAGTAGTTTGGCAGACATTTAATTCTTTTTCAATCGCTTCTTGGTTATGTCTTCATTAAATGGCTTCTTTTTATATGCAAACATGCATATAGGTCCAGTTGGTAGTCTAGGAAATGATACTTGGTGACTTAGAATGTAATTTTGTTAGCTTTTGACTATGGCAGTTGCCCATTCCTTAACATTTTTACTAGAAATTTTAAATATACTGGAATGCCTTTGAATGAATATATAGTAGAAAAATTATAGAGAGATCTAATCTGGATTATCTTTATCATCTTTGTCTTTATTTTCATTATTAAATATTTATTGAATGTAAAGAATTGTGCTAGGTATTAAGAAATACAACAAGGGGGGGTGGAGAGATGGCTCAGCGGTTAAACTGCTCTTCCAGAGGACCTGGGTTTGAATCCCAGTACCCACATGACTGCTAACAACCATCTGTAGTCCAGTTTCAGGAGAATCTGATGCCCTCTTCTGACCTCCACTGTCAGTGCATGACAAGGTGTGCTTACATACATGCAGGCAGTACACTCATACACAAATAATAAAAATAATAAAATATTTTTAAAAGGCATAAACAAGCCATTATTCTTCTCTTATGCTTAATTTAGTTGGGCAACAAGATATATCTAGGTCTCCATTTTAAATATAGATAGTGGTCCAGGATAGTGTATTTATGAGTAATATGTTAATTGCTATGGTCTTCCGAACTTTAAGAAAGGAAATTAGCTTTGACCTAGGGGAATCACAGAAGGTATGAGTTATATGGGACTTGAACTTTGTAGAAGAAAGGGGAATTAAAGTCAGCTACATCTTAGACACATATCATTATTAACCTCAGAACAAAATTCTTACCTTTCTAAGTATTAGTAAGTTGTGGTAAGGTTTAGAAAAGAGAATAAAGGGGCTGGAGAGATGGTTCAGCAGATAAGAACACTGACTGTTCTT